CGTCCATGCAGCCCAGTGCGGCTGCCAATCACAGCTGAGCACCAGCAGCCTCCATCCTCAGCAAGGAAGATAGGATTGGCCTCCATCCACTGACACCTTGTTCCAATTCACAGGGCAAGGAAGAACAGTGTCTTCTCAGCCTACCCTTAACTCTGAGAAGGCCTCCGAGGATCCTGGAATCTCTGAGTGAAGGCAAACAGAGTCTGCAAAAGCTCCTCTCACAAACACAACACACATATACTGAGAACCAAGTATAGTCAGAGAAGGTAGCTTGTACTCCCAGACAGTGTCCCCCAAAAAACCAAAATAAACAGGAGAGAAGGTAAGGTGGGAAGAACTGAATGCCAACTTCCAAGTGAGGACAGAAGAAAGGGGGACTGATCATTATTCCTATAGGGAATAACCAGAGAAAATGGGATCTGGAGTGCCAGGAACACACACTCCAAGGCAGACCACAGTGCAGGAATAGCAATCCTCACGCATGTGTGTGCAGATACCAACACTGGAGAGTGACAGAGAAACGACTTTAGCTTGGCCCCACATCCCATCCTACCTAAGGCTCCAGACCTTAGGCTCAGAGACAAGTTGGCACTGAGCTTCCAAGGTCAGACATTTGGCCATCAAATGAAACCTAGGACATTTATTACCCTCCTTGCACTTGAGCAGATACTTGAGTATGATGGTTCAGCACAACCATCTTCCTGGTCACTGCAAAGACAATGAATATGCACAATATCATGTGTTGACTTAAATCTCTTGCAACAAGATGTAAACAGCTTATGCCTGGGCTGGGCCTGTAGGTCAGTGGGAAAATGCACATTTACCCTACATAACTCCCAGCACTCAGAAGTGCCACTACAGAAACTCTCACTGTGCGTTACTGTATTCACGAAAGCAGCACAGACCTCCCCACTCCCTCTACCTGGCAGTTTTCTGAGGTGCAGCACGCAGGCACAGGTGCAGAGGTGTCTTGCGTTGGCCAAGAAGACCCCAGGACTCCCTGTCCGACACAGCCTGGAGCTCCTGCAGCCCCACAGACCACCTGTTGCATGCTGCACTGTCTGCCTCATGCCCTCTGCCTTGTCCAGTGACACTCCAGCAGAGGTTTTCCTCCTTATTACATAATAAATTCACTTTAGAAAACAGGAAATAAGAAAAATTACTTATAATTCCACCTTCCTGAAATAATAAACATTAGTATGTTGGAGCATTTCTTTCCTACATTTACATATACATTTTAAAAACTAAGATTGTGATTCTTGGGGGCTGGGGATTTAGCTCAGCGGCAAAAGCGCCTGCCTGGCAAGCGCAAGGTCGTGAGTTCAGTTCCTGGTACCGGAGAAAAACCAAAAAAAAAAAAAAAAGATTGTGATTCTTTTTCCTCTCCTTTTTCTACTTTCACTATTAGGGAATATTTCTTCATGTTTTCTTAAGAATTTTGATTTGTAGAGTACTGTTTCATTTAATAGTATACCGTTGCTTATCTCATCATTGCTCTACTGGCACACACCTGGATGGCCAGCAATCTTTCACTGTTACACACTGATGGAGACCACTACCAAGTGGCTCTGAGCAGGATTTATATCAACCAATTGGCTTTTCAAATTTACTTGTAAGTCTGCCCAAGACCTAGGCCCTTTGTCTGGAGATGACAGCCTGTGATGGTAGGTGAAGCGTTGGTGCCTCAAAGGACAAGACAAGGGCACAGCTAAGGACACCTGGCTCCAACCTCAAAGACTGTTACTGCAGGCATCTCACTCCTGTGGTGAAGGCCTTCCTGGATATAACACAGCTGTCCTAAATTAACATAATGTATTATTTGAAAAGGTCCTTAAAGGGATTCCCAAAGCCCTGCCCAGATTCCTGCATTTTCTTGGGTATTCCCCTCCTTTGTTTGATTACATAATAAAGATGGGCTGCCTAGAGAAGTTCTTGGTCTTAACCCAGAGAATCTCGAATTCTGTGAAAGGGTTTTTAACCCTCCTGGAGCCCTGAAATCATTTCACTTGTCTCATTTATTTAAGCCTTCACCATCCACTCATTTGGGAGATTGCAGGCCTGATCTGTCTGTGATAACTAGGGGATAATATTAATGTGATAACACACAACACTGCATGAGAAACTACACACAAACCTTCACACATCTCTAATGATTTCCTCAAGGCAAACTCCTGGGCATGGAAGCTGTGACTCAGAGAACTCACTGACATTAAATACATATGCCTCAAAATGTTAAGTTTTCTGCTCCAGGTGCCAAACTCACAGTGATAAAGGACAGAGCAAGTTATCTTGACAGTAACACTCAAAATGCACAACTAAGGATCCTAGCAGTATGCTGAATGAACTGATTGAGAGCATGAAGTCAGAGGGACGAGGGGCCACAGGACATAACAGAGTGAAGGGATGGGGGCTGTGAAGAGACAGCTGGAGTTGGGGAGTTGCATGTGAGCAGTGTGTGCTGGGCTTCACACAGGACACAGGATCCATGAGGAACCATGTAAACTGCCTCGTCCCAGGACACCCCAAGATGAGGTTCCTTTCCAGACTCTTGACTCCAGAACAGTCACAATTCATTGGTTATTTCATATAAAGCAACCAGCACAGGGCCTATACACAGTAATTCCCTCAATGCTGAGGGTACTCAGCACATAGCCCAGCCAGCTACAATTCATTAAAATTAGTACATGTGGCTACATTCATATTTAATTACTGTATTAATATAAAATTTAGCTCCTTTGGCTCTACAATATGAATGAAATCATTTGAAAGAATGAGCATAAAGGAGAAAAACTACAAATGCATAGTATTCTCCTTCTGATCTAATCTAGGCCATAGATAAGAACCAATCCCAACAGATAAACTAAGATTACACAATTAAAGGTGCATCTGGTGAGCATCTCCTTGCCCATCTCCCTATGCCATCCCCACTTCCAGCTCTCAGCCTTGACTGCACTGGCAGAGAACTGCTCAGACAGCCCAACATAGCACAGTGGCCGCAGCTCCAGGCTGGCTCCTAGAGCAGCACAACCACAGCATCTGGTCCACACACAGAATACAAGGCTAACTGGACCCCAGATGGTTCACTCCTCTCCTGTTTCACTTCACTTCTTGTAATGGTGGTACAATCTACAAAGACAGTATTAGAGAAAATAAAATCCTACCTTGTGGTTGGTATCATATTCTCCACCATAAAATAAGTGATGTTCAGTTATTACCTAATTACCACAATTTTAGTGAAGGATACTGTCTAGTAAAGCTAAAGAGAATCTCTGGTGGTGGTAAGGGATATGCCATACTGAAATTTTTCAAAAAGAAAATTTGTCTATTTGGAAATGAGTGAGCAATCTGAACAGGCAAACATGAACTATATGATCAGCAACCATATGAAGAGTTCTCTCTCACTGGCCACTAGAGAAATGCAAATCAAAACAACTTTTTACCTGTAAAACCGGTATAAATTTGAAAGTCTAGTAACATTCAGTGTTACTGAGGACATACAGAAAGGGTACTCAAACATCACTGGTAGAACTGTAAATTGGTACAAAATTCTTAAAGGGCAAATTTATGTCATGTATCAAAGGCATATGCTGTACCACCCAGAAATCTCATGTCTAAAAACCCACTTTATACAACTATACTGTCTACTACAACAGTCACAAGCTACTTGTAGCTACCTAAATTAAGTGTAACATTCAGTTGCTCTGCTGCCCTACCACACTTTGAGTATAACAGTGCTATGTGGCCAATGTCCATCACATAGGATAGGGCAGATTTAGATCATTTTCATTATCACACAAAATTCTGTCTGATTATGCTGCTGTGAAGATATCCCACAAAAATGGATTTTATCAATGCTACATTGGTTATAAAACAAAAAACAATATAGCAAAAAGAATTGTTAATAAATTATGTCATTTATACTAAGGAAGTAAAAAATGTACGCAGATCTATGAATAGAAAGAACTCCAATGTTAAAAGAACATGGCAACCACAAGATGCACTGTAACATTTTACATATAAACAGATTACTTATGAATTATTAATGACACTAAAAATATCTGCAAGAATACATATCAACCTGTTAGTGGCAGTGAAGGAAGGGGGACTGGAAAGGGAAACTGGGGACTTTCATTTTTAATTTGCTCCTTAACTGTATGAATTTGTTAAAACTCGAATATATATCTTGTGTTTTACAAAAGAGATTTTCAAAAGTTCTGTTCTGTTTTTTGGGTTGTTTTTTTTTTGTCTTTTTGAGACAGGGTCTCGCTATACAGTTCAGGCTGGCCTTGAGTTCACTTTGTAGCCCTGGCTGGCCTTGAACCACAACTGGCGAACAAAGTTCTGTTCTTAAAAAGATGACTTTAGTAAGTCAAAAGTCTGATTTATTTTCTAAACCGCGCTTCCTTCTTTGGCCATTATGTTTTTAAAACTACTGATCAAAAACATTTCCTAAGCGCTGGAGGAGCCACAGATAGATCCTTCTCCTGCTCTGGCCTCATTCAACCTGCACCTCTTGCCTTTCCTCTTTCCCCTAAATGTACTCTTTCCTTCATCCTGGATTTTCACCCACTCACACCTTTTTTTTTTTTTGAGACAGGGTCTTGCTAGGTAGTTCAGTCTGATCTTGAACTCATCGTGTAGCTGACCTTGAATCCAGAGGGATCCTCCTGCCTCAGGCTCCTGAATGCTTGGATTATAGGCATGGGCCATCACACCCAGCTTAGCCTCACTTCTCAGGTTTTATAAAACTATGAACAGGGCACCATCTAATCACTGGGCAATGGAAAGCAAGTTCCTCAGCAGCTGTGCTTCTCCCCAGCAGGACAGAACTCATTGCTCCATGCCTTAGACACAAAACCAGGCAAAGGAAAGCAGAGGACCAGACAACAACACAGATATCTCACACATACAGCTGCAGATACAATCTACCTAAGCAGACATTCTCCAAAACCAATCACGGCAAATATAAGAAAACCATCACTAGCAAACCAGACAGGCAATTATGTTCCAAGTGTGATGGGTTTATTTTATTTTACTCTGATGCAAAACTAAAGATTCCACTATAGCAGAGACCAATATATTAAAACATCATGAAAAAGTGGTGTACAACATGCAGGACACAATGTACAAAGGGGGGGGCGGTTCAGGTCGTTTCCTTTAACATGACACTACATGGTCGCTGAGGAACACACAACACTGCAGAACTCGAATGTGGCACAAACATGACAATTTCCAGGTCTGCCTTCAAGAACCACCTGGAGATGGACTTGCAATCTCTTGAATTCAGTGTGAGAAGGATTACAATTCTTTGGAAGAATAAAAAGTTCACACTTTTAAAATTTCACAGAATTTTAAGGCCAAAACATAGTGGGTTCATTTCTCTTCACTTGCAGGGATAAATCTAAGGCTTTACTCAAAACTACATTAAGCTTCCAGTTCAAATCCCAACCCAACCTTGTGACCTCCAGCATTGAAGTTCTTCCCATCGATTAAAGCGGACAGGGTCAGTTTGACTCCTAAGGAAAAGAAAACATCACAATCACTCATGGCCAGTATTACAACCAATTTAAACTTTCTAGTAATAACAGACAGTCAACAGCATGGATTGCAACTGAGTATAAGCAGCACTAAATCCGCACAGCGTTCATCTGTAATCATGTGATCCATAATGTAAAGTATGAGTATAGTAGCAAACTGTATTTGGAGTTTCAGGGTACCAAAAAGAGTGAGCAAACACGAAGACCAAAGTGGCCAAATGATAGTTATAAATACGTAAATATCCCCTCAGTTTTTTATTTAACTTTCTGTCCAAATAACCAAATGTAGTAAGACAGCCTGAATCAAGCTATGGTGACAGCAGCTGTTCCATAGGCCACTCTCATTATTCTTCTACCACCTTCTACCTTAACCCCTCTGTGTTTGCCTTTACGTACCTGGTCGAAGGGTCTGCGTATAACCCAGTCCAATCAGGCTGGCATTATTTACTTTAGCCTAAGATTAAGAGATAGGACAGAAACAGAAAGCAATCAATTCCATTATACTGAATTCCAATACAACCACTACTTCAGGCATTAAGTTTCCAAAGCTAAAAATACCTTGCTGAAAGTGAAAAGGAATAAAAGGATGCTCTTGTAAGAAGTCAACCAAAAGGTAGGAATAGTGGGGATTTTGAGACTGTATGCTTAAAGTGCTTGAACAAAACTTTTAAACGCACTACGCAGCCAAACACTTCTGCATCCTAAATCCTTTGAGATGCCAATTCATAATTTCTGACAGTGGTGACAGCATGAACTCTAGTGACAGAAAAATATACATGGCTTCAAATCTTGGCACTGCCACATACTGTGATCTTGATGTTTCTAGGCCTGTCTGCTCATCTGTGTATCAGGAATAAGGTCACACTGCTCAGCACACAAAGTAGTTGTGAGGATTAAATGAGACACTACACATGAAGCTTTAGCAGAATACGTGAAATCCAAGAGCTCACTTACAGTTGTTATTAGAAAGAATTACTAACGGTAATCTAATCCCATAAATTCACAGATTTGAAAACACAGAGCCAAGGAGATCAAATTACTTAAAAGGCCAGACAACAGTCAAGTAAGCGGAGGTACCAGGACTAGACCCTAAGTTTCCTAACTTAAGACATAATAATTTCTTCACTACACAGTGAGCTGCTCATTAAAGTTAATAAAGAAGATGCAAACTACACCCTATCACAACATTCATCTACAACTCGGGCAAAAACAGAAAAGCAGATCTGATCTGGCAGCACATTCTTACAGATAGAGAAGTTCTACAATCCAGCTTGTATTTAGCAGCGATGCCAAAACGGGTGTTGTTGCTGCCAGCTGTCCATGCAAGGTTTATTGATGTTTCAATCTTTTCATTTACTTTCTGGTAGATAGAACCTCCAAATTCAGTGCCATCATTCCTGTGTTCATAGCATAAGAAAAAGTCATAAACACTCATTTGTACCACTGTTACAATATAGAAACAAATTCTAAGAGTATCTAAATATAGGTCTCATTTTCTACCGGAAAATTGCAGCAAATTTCCAGCATAAAGACCACTGAACAAGTAACTGAATCCAGTTTTGTGATTTATAATCACCTAATTAAAACTTGTAACAACAACAACAAAAAATTAAACCCAGGACCGGGGCTGGGGATTTAACTCAGCAGCAAAGCCTGTCTGGCAAGTGCAACATTGTGAGTTCGATTCCTGATACCGGAAGAAAAACAAAAACAAACAAACAAGAAAAAGAATTAAACCCAGGACCTTGACACTGAATTACACCCCAAGACCTTTTGTTTGTTTTAAATTTCAGATAAAGTCAAACTAAGTCACTAAGTTGCCCAGGCTGGGTTCAAACTTGCAATTTTCCTGCCTCAGCTTCCCAGAGTGCTGGGATTACAAGTATGGCCCACCGCACCCAGACACATAAGGTAAATTTCTTATACACAATTCAATTATGCTATGCAGAGGGAAACACCTCTGGGAAATATGATCTACACATCTAAATACAATCTCTGGGCCAGTTGTGGTGGCACATACCTATAATCCCAGCACTCGGGAGGCTGAGGCAGGAGGATTATTGCGAGTTCAAGACCAACCGGGGCTACAAAGTGAGCTCAAGGGCAGCCTGAACTGCACAGCAAGACACTGTCTCAAAAAGACAAAAAAACATGAATACATTAAATAAATAAATAAATATGATCTCTGGGATTTTCACAAAATACAGAAACTTCAGGGTAGAGTACAAAGACTCTGAAAAAAAGTACAGGAATTAAACTAATTCTGGATTTTATTTTAAAACACAGCCCTACAATATCTATGGGGCACTGCTCCATAGAAGCACTCAACTGCTTTGAGGCATTCCAAAAGTCAGTCCGTGAGTTTTCATGATTTCCTTAGTAGTACAGTTTCATCAATGCTTCTGTCTAGAATATACCACTGAGTGGCTTCATTTTAGCACCATAAATAAAGTGTCTAGTGAAGAACAATCTGCAGAACTTCAAATGCACAGGGCCCGCCCTTTGCCTTTGTTCCTGCTACAGCAGCATTGTCCAGGACAAGGTATAAAACATAACTGTAAAGTTCAGATTCATTCAGTCAACATGATGCAGCCAATATAAATGAATCCCAGAACTGCCTTCAGGGCTCCTATAACCTGAGTAATAGAGGGGTGGCAAGGCTCCAACCAAGGATACCAAAATATTTTACAGGATTCCTGGGGGTGTTCCAGGATGCTGAATTCAATAGGGGGGTTATTCTTAGTAATCTAGACCTATTTCCAGATGCTGCCTGGGTGAGTATCATACCAGAGAATGCAGAATGTCTCCAAGAGATCTTTTACCAAGGGCTCCATGCTGTGCTTGGGGCACCTCATTTCCAAAGGTTCTCCTACAGAACTCAGAACTCCTTCAAGTTCAAGGAAAGGACAAGAGGCCAGTAGCCATCCACAACACAATAATGTGCACTGACTAGACCACCTCTTGGAGTGTTTCACTGACTATGGAGACTGCATAGCAAGGACAGGTGTCAAACATGCTAAAAAGCTAGTATTTTGATGAATGGCACTAGCACTAAAGAAGGAATCAGTTATAGACACTCACACATGAGTGTGCAGCTGAAAGTCTGCGGCCTTGTAACCCAGAGCGAAATTATTCTGAGACAGTTTGGATTTGGCTGTGTCAAAACTCATCTGATAGCCAGCAAGCCAACCTTCAAGGGCCAACACAGCCCAGCCATAGATGGTTGGTCCAGAAAAATCTATATCAACATTACTGCCAAGACTGAAACAATCCCGTTTATAGGAGGCCTTCAATTTCCCACTCTTCTTTCTGTAAAAACAAGAACAATACAATGAAATGTGAGTTTCTACTACTGTCCAGGAATCTTTAGAGTAAGATCCTATCTCTCTCCCCATGGATATATATGGTAAAAATGTTCCGAATGATTTTTGTTAGTATTAGAAATGTACATAGTATTTTGTATTTAGCACTACAAATTCAAAATAATAGCACACTTCATGTTAACTTCATAAAAGCATGAACAAAATACAAGAAACAGACAGGCTGGTCTCAAAAACTAAATTGTGATTAAATAGAAGAAAGCATTCTGAATGCTTTCACCATAGAAAAAAAAGATAAATGAGGAAATATGCTTACCATGATTTGAACATTATATAATGTATGCATGTATCAAAACACTACCTAGTACCCCATAAATTTGTATAATTTTGTCAATTAAAAATATATGAAATATAAAGAGTAAGATATTTCAGTGTAAAATACTGTAATCTGACAATATATGCATATAGACATATGAGAAATCAAATCTCCTTAAATGTCAAATGCCACAAAAAGTAACATCCAAATCCTACAATTAACCTATCACAGAGAGAAGTACATTTCTTAAAAAGAAAAATGCTAAATACCCAAAGCCGGTTCTTAATAGCCCTTTCCCCTACTGGCCCTATTATTAAAATAACGGAAATTAAAGCCAACGATAGAAAGGACACATCTGCTCTTACAGCTGAGAAGAAATTCCACTTTGATCTTACTTTCCTTTGTTTTTTGCGGGTTTTTTTGTCTTTTTGAGACAAGGTCTCACTATGCAGTTCCGGCTGGCCTTGAGGTCACTTTGTGGCCCAGGCTGGCCTTGAACTTGCAATGATCCTCCTGCCTCAGCTTCCTGAGTGCTGGGATTACAGGCATGCGCCACTACGCCCAGCTCCATTTTGCATTCATCTAACATCTTGTCTTTAAACTAGCAGGGCCCCATCTTAGGCAGACAGGAAATGGCACAATCCTCATTTTTTACATGAGGAAATTGAGCCAAGATACTGGACGATTTAAGGAAGCTATGAAATCAAGTCTGTAGCAGAATTACTCATCATGGTATTTTAGAGCCAGTAGATTACATTCCTAAGAAATCAACTAAGCAGAACAGCATGTTTTTCAATTTTCAAATGGAAATTCTACTCTGAATCAAGAAGGTGGCTTCTTACTACATACACAAGGCCTCAGGCATCCCTAATGGCAACTTCCCAAATTCTTCTTGCCTCTATATTTCTCCATTGTAACTCCTATACTAAAGTTCTAAGGCTCCAACAACAATTCAGAAAATGCGGTTTGGATAATTACCCTGTATTCGGTACAAATATAGTATCAAGAGTCAGTTTCAAACCTTCCGCCAACTGAAAAACAAAGATTTTAAATTAACACTTAGTAATTTTCAATTCTCTAACTCAAAAAAACTATTTTAAGTTTCCTCTAATTTCAAGAAAAAAGGAAGTTACTAAAGAGAGCCAGATACTAAATTATATAATAAATTCTCTCATCTTCCCTTTCTCCTTTCCCCTTACCCCAGCCATGATTCTCCCATCAAAAAATAGGTTAAAATGTATAGGCCAAATCCTAGTGTAACAAATAATATATAGTGTAAAAATAATAGATTCCAATATAACAAAATAATCTTTGCTATTTTCTTGAAATTACTTTAAAGAGATAATCTGACACTTAACAAGCCAACAAGTAATTTATTCAGTTATACCTCTTTATTATCTATAAATGGCAATGTGCACTTAAACATACCTCAAAAAATAGTGCCATGTTCACAGTGAACACCTGACAAATAATTCTGCCAATAGACTTTCTCCTTGAAAATATTACAGAAACTTAGAAACATTTTTTCTGTGGAGCTAATTTTGCAATAATTACAAAACTAAACTAAATTACTCTACTCAGGAGAGGGGAAGCTGTACAGCAGAAAAAACAAAACTGGCCAGAAAAAGATGTAATATGGTAATCAGAATATTTACAAACAAAGCTCTTTTTTCTAGAAACATAAAGGCATAGCTAAAAAGGTCAGAGAGGAAGAAAACATAGCTACTAGTTAGGGTGTAAGACTTCATTCAGCTGGTACTTGTGGTTTGTTCATTATTCAATCCATGGGCTGGGGATTTAGCTCAGCGGCACAGTGCCTGCCTTGCAAGTGCAAAGTCGTGAGTTCGATACCCAGTACCAGGAAAAAAAAAAAAAAAAAAAAAAAAAAAACATTATTCAATCCACAAGAGAAACTGAACCTGTAAGTAATTTCTAATAGTTTCTCTTACCTTATTCTCCAAAGAGATTTCTGTCCCAAGAGTATTGTCTGTATTCCATTTCTGGGTGAAGCTAAGTCCATAGTTACAGACCTTATATTTGGTCTCTAGGTTGCCTGATGCTTTCCCTGTATCAGTGTAAGCATGACCTGATGTAGAAAACTCCTGGAAAGCAAGAAAACATAATTAAAAATAGCTCATTAAACAGAAAGCATTTATTTCAGAAGTGTTTAATGCATGAGAAATGAACACAATTTACTTTTTACTACAGTGCTACTTTACAGCAATTTATTTCCTGCTTTCCTTTTTTTTAAGCTCTAAATAGTTTAAACATTACTTTCTATCATGCTGCTTTTCTTACTGGTATTTATTGTTCCATATACTCTCTAATGGAGCATCTTAAATTCTCTCCTTTAAAGGAAAACACCTTTACTGAAAAATAAATGTCTTTACTAAAAAATACAAAAATACTGAATGTCACATATTTTACTTTCATGACCTAAAAAAACAGTATCAGTTCTCTGTAGTATCTCTCAAATTAGTACCTAATCTAGAGGTCCTCAGAAATCCCCCTTTGAATAGGGTCAACACTTCATTACTTTCTCACAAATGTATTTTTATAGTGAAAAAAACACAATTACCGTAGAATGTACAATTTTAACAATATTCAAGGGTACCATTAAGGGGCACTTAGTACATTGACACCGTTGTGAAAAGATTTCTACCTCTGTCTGCAAAACTATTTGCAAAATTTCAGCATAAGCAATTTTGATATTTGAAATTATCCATTTTTTCACAATAAAACAGAATGCTACATTTATCTCTTTCTCCTCCTCCATCCTGCCTGCTTTCTAAAGTAGCTTTAACAAACGCTATGAATGCCTAAATATGTCCTCCTTCCCCTAAAGTGTCCTTCAGGCACATGACAGTAAGCAACAAGAAACAGACTTCCTTCTAGGGAAGAGTAGGGTCAACACCTGTCACTGACAATCTACAAATTATCAAGAAGAGAACATTCTGACTGGCCGTTTGCAAGAAGCATTTCTGAAATGCGGCCAATGTAACACCAAGCTGCCAACCCTATGCAACTCCACAGTGCTGCCTGAAATGCGAGGCCTCCTTTAACAAATATCCTGTCCCCAACTTGAGTTCCACTGATGGATGAAGCAACTGCAAAACTATGATCTGTTTATCAACACTACACAGAAAGCTTTCAAAGTGAATATCATGCTGCACATTCGGGTCAAGACCTTAGTAAAAAGTGATAAAATGTTAGTCATGTTTAAGAGCTCACTAATTTTTTACTGTGACAACTGTTTTCTTTTAGTAGCTCCAACTACCCAGTGTTTGCTTATTTTGTTTTTCAGTTGTTATTGTTGTGGTAGTTGTACTGCGAGGTGGTACTAGGGACTGAACTAAGCTACATCCCCAACCCTTGTATTTTGAGACAGGGTCTCAGTAAGTCACTAAATTCCCAGGTTGGGCTTGAATCTGCAATCCTCTTGTCTCAGCCTCCCACATCCCAGCATGCACCACCACACCACACCTCATGCTCTCAGTGTTTCCTTTTTAACTTTACCTTCTACAAACTTGACAACTATAACAAATGTAAATCTTAATTTTAGTGTTAGGAAAATTTTATGCATAAAGGTAAAGTGATGGAACAGTCTACATGTCTTCCTTGTTATCATTATCATTTCTTAGTCTGAAGCTTGTCAGGAAACTAAAATACCAGAAGGATAAATCTCAAACAGAAGTCTAGAGTTGGTCCATGTTGAGTTCCAGGTTCACAACTGCTTCAACTTTTGTCTACTTTCAGAATCAGTTCAAATAAGTAAAAATTATATCTATAACCATGCATTTAAAATCTACCACTCTATATTAAATGCTAGTAAACAACAAAACAAAAAAAGTTACTGTTAGATGTCATGTAAAAATAATATTCCAAGATACCATCTAAAAAAATGTAGAATGATTGATGAAATTTATCCTAAACCAAGACCAGAGATGCAAAGCAACTATGAAACCGAGCACATAAATAAGCTTTTCCTTACCATCTGAACAGATAAAACCACAGCGGGAGCAGGAAAGGGAGACAAAATTGTAGTTGATGATTTTCACAATACAAATGTAAACAGGACAAATTCTCTAACCTACTCAAAATACATATCATTCTTCTCCTTTAACAGGAACATACATACAATATGCCCACTTTAGTAAGGTTGGTGCATATACACATATATATGTACATATACAATACATATTAGTTATAGAAATCCAGAGAAAGAAATGTACATATACATATATATTAGTTACAGAAATCCAGAGAAATAAATATAGCGACAAACCTAGATTATACAAACCACAATATAAAATATTATAAGAATTCCACATGTCTTTTGTCTTTTTAATTAAATCTGTATATTCAGAAGTAAAGTCGGCATTGGTATGAATAGGTAAACAACAACAAAAGATGCAGCCAATGAGAAAAAAACAGAGGATGAGGTGCAAGAAAAGTTAATCTATTTGCTTAGATGATGGAATAAAAGCTCTGGTTAATGATGCTTTGAAAACATGTCAACATATACTTTACTACATCATTAATTTCCAGTAAAAAAGACTGAAATTAAGAATAGCAGTTAAAAATCAAAATAACCTGCATAATTACATGCAGAAATACATCTTATTTCTCTATTTTACTTCAATTAATCATGAAGGGAGATTAGAATTAATTGCTTTTACAAAAATAACAAAACCTGTATGAACCTCTTATAATAAAAATAAAGTATTTTAGCCAGGCCTGGTGGCACACGCCTGTAATCCCAGCACTCAGGAGGCTGAGGCAGGAGGACTGTTGCAAGTTCGAGACCAGCCTGGGTTAAAAAGTGAGCTCAAGGCCAGCCTGAACTGCATAGCGAGACCTGTCTCAAAAAGACCAAAAAAAAAAAGGTTTTATTCCCTATATACATATTCATAAGAGTATAGTAACAGGGGCACAGTCAAAAATACACATTTTGTATCTTCTAACAGTAAGATGCAAAGTATTCTTATTATGACAAACATAAAATGTCTCCCCTACATTAAAACTGATTATCTACAGGTTTAACTGGCTGAGTATGCTTAGTGGGAAAAACAACATAGTACCAAAAGTATGCTGTTTCATATAACTAGGTGAACAAGAGTTTTTAAACAACTTGCTGTAAGTATGCTACATCTATTAAAAAATATTAGGTACTCACCACTCCACTACAAGACTTGGTTTTCAGGTCTATTTTAACCATGCCAAACCCTGGAGACACACATAAAAACAAAGTAATGTAAAAAATGCAACATTCACTACAGTTTTTTCAAGTCAAATTATGAGAATAGCATACAGCAGTGATAGCAAACCTTTTAGAGCTTTCAATGTTACAAACAACCTGCTGCAGCATGCATGTCATAGGTTTGCCACCACTGGTATATAGTATCTTCCACATGGAAAATAAATGGTATTCTCATGAAATGAGAGTTCCATAAGAAATTGATAATGTAGTAAAAATTTTAAGTCTCTCAAAATGAATAAATATAACTCAATATAAGTTAAAGACCAAGTTAATGAAAGGAATATATACAGTTCTAAGAACAAGGGGCTGGGGATTTAGCTCAGCGGGAGAGCGCCTGCCTGGCAAGTGCAAGGTCGTGAGTTCGGTTCCTGGTAACGGAGAAAAACCAAAAAAAAAAAAAAAAAAAAAAACAGTTCTAAGAACAAAATCACTAGAGTATATTAGAATACATACTAGAAAACGTGTGTACATATGTATGGTTAAAATATACAATTAATATTACCAGTAAGAAAAAGTCAATGTGTACAGTAGAAAAAAAACTAAAAACTTGATTAAATTTTAAAACCTAAAAATAAATATCTACTGCAAATCAGAGACTATATGCTAGTCCAAAGAAGTCAAAATTTGTGTCTTCACTTTTATAAAAACAATGTCATTATTTGCAGGGAGAAGTATTTTCATCATCCTCAGAGCTAGCCAAAGGAGGTATAAACATTACAGGTCTACACTACTTCATATTACAGATTACATTATGTATAAAATATGTGTAGATGTTTGTGTACACATGTATATAACTTCTTAATGCTTGCAAGGGACTCTACCTCTACAGAATAAAGTTCAATACCCTCTTAATGTTATCCCCTTACAGCCTGTGAAATAGATTAATGTTGACTTACCCTTACTTTACTAACAAATTACCTTATGTACAGGAGGAATTCAACATTAACCCTTAACTCAAGTTGGAGATGGCATACTTACCATATCCTTTGTTGAAGACATCCTTGGCAGCCTTTCCTAGGTCACAATAAGTTGGTGTATTACACATATCTTATAAAGAAAAATGAAAACAGAGGAACAACCATTAAGTGTAAATTCACTCATAGCTCTCTACTCTTTCATTCTGTGAGATGTTTTTCTCTTCCTTTCAATCACTGAATTGTATACCCTAATGCAATCGTAGTTAACAGAAGGCATTCCGCTCCTTAAAGAGCTTTCCAGGACACTGCAAAATAAAAAGGCTTACCTATGAGGTTTCACAGATATCATCTTTCTGAGTACAATTCAAAGAAAAGAAAGTTGTCACAAGCTGAAAAATGCACTGTTAAATTAGACTTCTTAAATAAAAAGCAAAACTTACCTTGCAAAAATCCTTTGTTATATACCCAAAAAACTGTATAGTGACAAGATAAAAATTTTTAAAGAACTGTAAGACTATATGCCATTAAAATCCTCCAGGTTAGTGCTGAGGATGTAGCTTAGTACGTATAAGGCAGGGGGTTTAATATGGAACACTAAAAAAAAAAAAAAAAAAACAAAAAAGAAAGAAGAAAGAAGAGAGGAGTGGGGGGAGAGGAAGGGAAAGGGGGGAGGAGGAGGGGGGAGGAGGAGGAGGAGAAGAAGAAGAACAGTGTCCTGTCTCAACCCCAAAAAGAACTGCTATAATTTTACACATGAACCAGAAATAGGATATTCTACATGCAGTAATCTCCTCACCCAAAAAATGATAAACCCCAAAGTGAAAGTCTTCAAACATCTGAGGTACCTTGACTTTGCAACTTGCCTACTCAGTATGCTCCCAACTTTTCTACTGCTAATATGACCTTTACATCAAATTCACCAAGGCTACCAACAATACCTCTGCCCATTCTTATGCCCTCTTGGTATAATGGAAGACTTTTCACCTTTTCCTGCAGCAGGTTGCTACCCCTCTTACAGATTCAAAAACCATTTCGAACCAATTAGGGTTATTATTCGCACTAATTTCCACTAGCATGAATTTATTATGTTGTACCAGAAAACGCCATAGTTCCAGCCAGCTCTTACAATTACTAGGAATAAACCACCTCAAACTATTTACTGAAATGAATAAATTATGTACATCTAATCCAGCTCTTAATCTGGGCTTCTGCTAAATTTCCACCCATAACATCATAACCGAACATATACCCATGATGTACTTAATTAAAAATTAATGGGAATTAATTTTTAACCTAAACCTATCAAACACAACAGACACTATGATATAGTTAAAAAGAAAGAGCACAGTAAAGATAAAACTAGTGGTACAGGTATACTGACTGAAGCCATAATAAAATATCGTCTAAGATACAAGGTTTCCTAGTTCACTTCCAGAACAATTGTTTTATAATTCAATCCTCTGTACTCAAATGATCGACTTTGGACTTTATATGTATTCCTTATTATTACAATATGCTACTGCTCTTGATCATAATTGATGATGTTGAACTTGGGAGTAAATATACAAACGCAAGTACTACACATTCAAACAAATGTTTAAAGTGTTGTTCTGTTTTTTCACACTGCCAAAAGATACCCTGAAATGTTCAGATACATCCATGTGTACACCTAGGTATTAACTACACTCTTTTAGTACTGTACTGCTACTTTTCAAAATAGGACAGTATTGACTTTGCAAAAGTCGTTCAGCTGGTTTAATGTACTGACATCTCAATTCTGCACAGTTGAAGCTTACTTTTCAGGCCCCCGATTCTTCTGACGGGAAATGCACTGCTGGTATGATCAAGCAAAAATCCAGCAGACAGGGAGCCTTCACTTTACTCGCGGGTAAAGCTATATCCAAACGTGTCTATTAGCTCTACGCACGCACTTCCAGCTGGTAGAAATGCACCGTGCACTGAGCTAAACCAGACGCAGACGAGGTCGGGCGTTAACCAGGGGATCTGCCGGCAGCGCCCCTTTGTTCCCGGCTTCCGTGTCTCAGGCTGCACCGCAGCATCCTCCCTCCGGCCACACCGAGGCAAGACTCGCCCGAGGCTGGAGGTCAGCTCTCGAGAGGAAGGTGAGGGCGGGGCCGGGGCGCGGACTTAGGGTACAGGACCCACAGCCCCTAGAAACCGACACCCTCTCCGGCCTGCTGCGCGGAGGGGAGTCCGTCCGCACCCGGGCGTCGGCTGCCTCCCGCCGCTCCATCCCCTGAGGAGGCGGCGACGCCCGTGAGCTCGCCTCCGCCGGCCCGCGGCCCGCCACTCCCCGCTGGCCCGGCCCGCAGCCCTCACCTCCGAGCCGAGAGCCCGTGCCGCTCCGCTAGGGTAACGCTGAAGGTCTCCCCAGAACCGACGCCGTCAGCGCCTGCGCGGCCTCGCTCCCCGACGCGGCGCCTGCGCGCCCCTGCCTCCCCCGAGCGCGACTGCGCTGTCGTGTGGCGCCCCAGTCGCGCCGCGGGTCTGGGCGCGGGGGGCCGCCGGGGCGCACGCACGCTGCTAACCGCCGGGCTCCGAGTGCGCGCGTGCGAGGGAGGGCTTGGCGCGGGGTGAGGGCGCTTGGGAACCGCGAGTTGCCGCGAGGCTCTGGACCGCAGCTTCGCCCCAGGGTCTCGTTCTCGCGAGAATGCTCCGAGGCCCCCTAGCTACTGTTGCTATGGAGGAGGGCCGGCAAGGCGTTTAGAGAAGTTGTAGAGTGTCTCTCCTGACCCAGGTTGCTGCCTGGCACGTCACGCCCAAACTTCTCTTGAGGACATCTTTCAGGTCTTTATGGGAATTTCACCCAGGCTGACTAAAATTGACGAAGGTGACCCTAGGCCATCTCATCTTTCCCTAGGGGTTAAGCGATTCATTCGAGATCACGCAGGTAGAAGTAGGTTAAAATATAAACGGATAAAAGAGATGGAGGGAAAGATCTTTAGAGGAAAATACCTCTAAAGTAATCAGTGTAGGAGAAATCTGTAAAGAGAGAAAATCACCACTCTGGAACCATCACAGTAATAAAGGATTCAGGCCAAGCGATGGTTGAGAATACTCCTGTGTGGCAAGGACATCGTCACATCAAGGAACTCACTGAGCGATCAAACTTCAAAGAGTCAGAAGAGTCAATGATTACTGGTTTGATCAATCTTGTATGTCTCTATTTGTTTCCTGAGAAACCACTTTGAAGATATCAATAAGTAAAACAACAACCATGGATAATTTCCTACAATTTTGTCTGTAACTCTGTTTTGTTTGTCTTCTTTTTATGCTATTTTGTAAATGGATATCTGTTAATATGTTTTCCTTCTTTTATTTTTTAAAGGAAAAAAAAAACTCATAGAGTCAGGAACAAAAATGACCAATGCAATAGAACACAAAGACAGTGTTCTTGCCAGAAGTGTCTATTCATAAGGCACAATCATAAATCCAGATCGAGGGACCTTCTGCAAAACTTTCCAATCTCTTAAAAAATCCTTTGTGAAAGACTAAGAAAAAGACCGGTGCACTGTACTAGAGTAGGGAGAAAGAGAAGACATGACAGCAGAAGCAATGTGTGATTCTACATTGGACCTTGGAAAAAAATCAAAGCAGGTCCTGAAGAACATTATATTAGCATTTTAACAATGTAAAGTTTTTCCAAGGTTATGTGTCCACGTTTTTAGGAGAAACATGCTGAAGTATTTAGAAGTATGTCGGCAAATGGCTCAAAAAAAAAAAAAAAAAAAAAAAGAAAGGAAAGAAAAGAAAAACAAAGTATACTAATTAGTGAAGCAAGGTGGAATATCTAAGTGTGTCCATTGAACAATTCTGGAAATCTAGGAAGTTTTAAGTTTTCAAAATAAAAAATCAAGGAGAAGGAAAAAAACCTACAGAGTCTGTGGTGATCAGTATAAAATACAGATTGCTGCTTGAATCAATAGGCAAATACTGTTACTTGCCTGTCGAGTGTTAGGAATTTCAAGTTAATAAGAGATAAATAAGATAAATGCCCCTAAGGGATTCATAATGTAAGACTTGGACAAATATATGCTGAATGAGGCAGAATACAATGAATGCCATACACAAAGCAGCACAACCTAGTACCCAAAATAAGCTTTGGAGTGAGAAGAAACTGGGTCTATTTCTCAGCTCTGTCAACACTGGTTTTCGCAAGACCAGTTTAACCTCTCTATGCCTCAATTTCCACATCTGTGAAACAGAAATAAATAATGTCTACCTTAGAGGACTGCAGTGGACATTAAATCAAATGATGTAGTCATAGCATATAATCTACCTGGCATATGTGAAAGTTTCATTAATTAGTAACAGATGAAAATTAATATGCTTAGGAGTTTAAGGGCTGTACAAGCAAGGCCTGTATTTATTCATATTCTTAAATATTAGACGAACAACTTCAGCCTATACTTTGGCTCAGGCTCGGCCCTCCAGTATAGTAGTCCAATAGGAGCACTGTGACCAGGACTTGGCAACACTCAGTCTTTCCCTTTCCAGGTCTGTCTTTTGAAAGGCCCTGATCACACCAGTCTCACATCATCCACATACCTGCTGTCCCGCCACGCTGGGGGAGGTAGGCAGTGAGAAGAGGCATGGGGAGAGCTGCGGCTGAGAAGGCAGCCTTCCTTGCTCCCTGTCCCTCTGGCTCTGCCAGGTTAACAGAATCCAGATTAACGTCTCAAGATGCCACCTCAAAGCTGTGGCCATTTTCCCACCCACAGTGTGATCTAAACCCTTCAGCTGTGTAGAAAAGACTTTCTCCATCCAAATCCTAGGATTGTGGCATTCTGCTTGTACAAAATTGATAGAATTTTAGAACCTCAGCACAGGATGGGGACTCTAAACTGCTTCCTTTAGCTAAGTGTTTGCTATGTACAGGACACTGTTGCTCAGAGCTGGGATATGAGGAAGTACCCTATTGTGTCAGTCCTGCAGGTCAGCAGGCCACCCAATGAACAGGACTCAGGCCACCCACTCAGTTCCAAGCAACTGACTCACCTGCCCATGTTGCCTTTTTGAGAGAAAATCTCAGAAATTAAAAAAAAAACAGCTGAGAACAGCAGCTCCACTGTGAAGATTTGGTAGCTCACTGACCTCAAGTGTAAGAATAGAAGATTCTGTTATTTGTTTCTTAAAGGAAAAAGAGCCATTGCTTGTTTCAAAGATTCCACAATTCTGATGAGCTCGAGGACTCCCCATTTCCCAAGCAGCTAACAGCATCTTTAAAAGGAAGGGGGCACAAAGCATGAACCTGGGCATATACAAGAAGGCAGCAAACCAAGGACACCGTGGGTAACAGCACCTCCTTACCCTAGACGGGCCTGGAGACATCTCGGGATGGCTGGGAGAACAGGAGTCTGGCTCCTAGAGCAGAGAACCAGCGTGATCAAGACCGACTGCAGAAATCCATGTTATTTTTTTTTGTTGTTGTTTTTTGTTTTTTTTTTTTTTTTGCTTTTTCTCCGGTACCGGGAACCGAACTCACGACCTTGCGCTTGCCAGGCAGGCGCTTTTGCCGCTGAGCTAAATCCCCAGCCCCTGAAATCCATGTTAATGGTCTCGTCTCAACAAAAAGATCAAAATGTGTACAAAGATTTATCTTGAAAAACCTCAATGATTTAAAGTAGAAAAAATGAAAAACAATCAAATGCCTAACATTTAGAAGATTCCCTAAATAAAGTACAATATATCCATGTTTGGGGTTATGGTTCAGCCGTGTGTTGTGGTAATATATGATGATGGGGGGAAATGCTCAGTACAAAACAAAGAGTAAGAGGAAACAATTCCATTTATGTGTGTGTGTGTGTATAGAGGGAGCTGGATGTGATGGTGCACTCCTGTAAACTTAGCAGTCTGGGAGTCTTCAGTAGGACTGATTGCAAATTCAAGCCCAGGGCGGGCAACTTAATAAGCCCCTCTCTCAAAGTTGAAAAGGGCTGATGATGTAGCTCACTGTGAAGGCGCTGGGTTTAATCCCCCAATATGAAGGAGGTGGAGAGGGGAGAGGGACAAGGGATCGGCAGGAGACAGCATGGAGCAGCTGGGGGCCTAAACGAAGGCTGGTTGTGGAGCTAGGGGAGATCAGTCACGTTACGTGCTGAGGAAGTGAGTGATGCCGGTTCACATGTGCACCTGCACCTGCCCAGAGAAGAGCTGGGACAATTTTGCCAAAGTCTGATGACATTTCTGTCACGTCAGAGAATATGATTTTTAATTTTCTTCTTCGCACTTTCCTGTATTTTCCATAATCTCTAAGTTTTGGGAATGTGTGTTTCCTTCACAGTCAGGAACGTTATTCGAGCCCTACATTCACAAGGTGGGAAGTACCTGGATTTCTGAGGGTAAGGCTGCTCCGCGGGGAGTTACCGCCCGGGGCTGAGCCGGCCGGGTCTCCCGCGGGCTCACTCGCTGCGGCCACGAGGGGGCGCCGCCCACAGGCGAGGCCTGGCCGTCCTCGTCCAAAGCCTCGCCCGCGTCTCCGCCGTGAGGTGAGGTGGGCCCGGGCCGCCAGCGGGGCGCAGCGCGTGAACGTGCTCGGAGAAGCCGGCTCGGCCTGGGAGGGCTGCGGACCTGCCTGGGACGGCCTCACCCACCCCCGCGGGGCCCGAGACAGAGACCTAGACCGGCGGGAAGGTGGCCACAGGGACCCGAGCCGCAGCAGAGCGCCCGCGCCTCCCGCTCTGCGCAGGCGCCGCGAGGGCCGCCTCCCGGGGTGCACTGCTTCGGAAAAGGCGCTCCTCGCGTGCCGCGGCTGCTGCATCCCCGGCGGTAGCCCACCAGCCGGGTGGCGTCTGGCAGGTCACATCTCTCTGAGCCCCAGTGTCCCTGTTTTTAAAATAGAAAACCCCAAGAGTAAACTCTCGGTCTACCGGAGCCCACCAGAGGGAGAATTCAGCCACAGCTTTCTTTGGCCAAAGTTCGGGTAGGCGTGGACACCCTGGAGAGCCGGAACAGCTCTCAGGAGGCGGCGGGGGGCGGGGGGTGGGGCGCTGGAGATGTCCCGAGGGGAAAGCCTTCCTCCCGGGAGGCCTGCAGTGTGCAGAGCTCGCCGGCGGCCACGAAATGTTTGGTGTGCTGCTTCAGAGCTGGGCTGTGGTGCCTCATAGAGTCCTAGCTACGCATGAGGCAGAGGCAGCGGAATCACAAGTTCAAGGCTACCTTTTGCAACTGTTCTGAGACCCTGTTTCAACAACAGCTAAAAATTCTAAAGATGTAACTTAATACTAGAGTGCCTGCCTAGCATGCACAAGACCCTGAGTCCGTTCCCCAGTACCACAAGAGAACAAAACAAGAAAAACTTATTAAGAATTGGCACTTAAGGCAATTTGGGTCTTACACTGCAATGGGATTCACCCTTTACTTCTGAGGAGCAAAAATCCAGACCCAGCTTGGTCTACATCACAGGGACCAAGCCAAAACATGGCAGAATGTGTTCTCTCGATGAGGAAGAAGCTGCAGACCGGAAAGTTCCTCTTTGCTGGCTCCTCCTGACACCAGGTCGGTAGAGGACATGTATGTCCACATACAGGTCGCTGTGGTGTCTACATTCCTTTCCCTCTCCCACCGCTCCGCCCCTTCTGTTCTAATGCTACTCCGTGGCCTTGGTCTGGATCCCGGCAGACCCTCAAGATGGCGA